TTTTGCTTTGAATGATTGATAATGTGATTATAATTTTTGCTTTTTTGGATTAATCTGATGTACAGTAAACTGTTTCCAGATGCCAATTTTTAATACATTTATGTTTATTTTTTAATAGATTTTTCACTTTTTATTTTGGCGAGGCAATTGGGCTTAAGTGACTTGCCCAGGGTCACACAGCTAGTAAGTGTCACATGTCTGATCTGAGACAGGTCCTCCTGACTCCAGGGCTGGTGCTCTATCCACTGTGCCACCTAGTTGCCCCCTAATAAATTTCTTATAAGTATTAAGTTGTGGGGTTCTGCTTTCTTATCCATTTTTACTCTTTTCATTTTATTGCATATTCATTCACATTTATAGTTAAGACTTAGGTTTATATTTTTTTCCATTTTTCTCTAGTATTTTTCCCTCCCTTTCCCCTGTAAAGACTGTACTATGTCTCTTCATTGAGTTTAGCCTCATTTATTTCAAGACAGCCCATTCCCATTGGCTCTCTTCCCGCTACGTTCAAGCACTCTTCTCCCCCATTTGTTACCCTTCTCCTGAGTTTTGGAGTTTTACTTATTAATATCTTTTTCTTTCTTAATTTAATTTAATTATTTATTCTTCCTCTGTTTTCCCCCTCTCTTAGGTAAGTAGTGAAGGAAAATCACTCTTCCTTTCTTCCACTTGAACTTGCTTGGTACATTAGTTTTTAAAATTTCATTTTCTGTATCTTTTTCTGAAAAAAAAAATTTCTTTCCTTTATTCTCCTCATTATTTATCTTTCCTTTCTCTCAATTTTAGACTTTTATTCTTTGATTCATGGCCTATGTACTTATTTTGTCCTTCTTTAGTCCCTTTATTCATCATGGATTTAAGGCTTCTGGAGTAATTATCTGGGGTTCCTTCTAAATAATTTCTATTTTATTGTCTTGTAAATGTTGCCTCTTAGGCCCCTTTCTGTTGGGTCTCACTCTCAGAAATACCATTTCTTTTAGGAGATAGAATATTGTACCAAGGCAGGAATTTTCCAGTGCCCTTGATTATGAAATTTATTATTGACCTTTGGCATTTTATCATTTTGCCCTTTTGCCTGGAAATTTCTTCACTGGGTCTATGCCTTCCCACTCTTCTGGGGGTCAGTTTCCCCTAGGAGTACTGATTCTCCTTCTTAAAGCAGTCTAAGTATCAAAACTCTGCAGATTATACCCACTGTGAGCTCCTTTTATGGAATAGATCTTTTCTCCCATGTGAGTATCCATTCCCACTACTCCCTCCCAGCACTGAAGTACTGTTTCCCCTGTCTCCCCCCACTTTTCAAATCACACTCTTTTCTCATCATTTCATCTCCTATAGGTTTTCTTCTTCCTGAGAGACTATAGGAGTTAATTTTCCTTTCATTTTTAGCCTTTGACTTCATTATGACACATCATGTATTCTAGTCTATCATTTTGTTCCCTTTTTCCTTTTATGTACCTTCCCATTCTTTTTAGACCCATGAAAAGCATTGACTCAACTGTAAGTGGAGTGTAATGATATTTAGTCCATGATATTTCAGTTCTGTTTCCCCACCATCACTACTATTTGATTTCTGTTTTTCACTGTTGTCACCTTATGTGCATTTACAGAGTAATCTCTTAATGGTCTTTCTGTTGTTACTTGTTATTTGGGTTTTGGTTGCTATATTTAGTCTTGTATTTCTGTCATCTGGAGTTTGAGAAGCAAATAATTCCTTCAGTTCAAGTTTTCTTTGTAGAAATGTTCTGAACTTTTTTTTTAAATTGAATTTAATTGAATATTATATTTTAATTGAATAAATTTTTCCCATGAATGATTAGACTGAGATTTGTAAAGTAGCACCTAGGACTGCATTTAGAGCTCTTTTGATTTTTGAAACACATTATTTCATTCCCTCCAATTTTTCTGCAAAATAGTCTCATGCTATTCAAATACCCTTTCTCTACATTTGAAGGTCTTCCTTCTAGTTACTTGCAAAATTTGTTGTTTCTTTTTTTAGTTTAATATAAATTTATTTATTTTTAGTTTTCAACATTCACTTTCACAAGTTTTTGAGTTCCAAATTTTCACCCCATCTCACCCCTCCCCTCACCCCAAGATGGCATGCATTCTGAATATCCCTTCCCCTAGTCTGTCCTCTCTTCTATCTCTCCCCCCTTCTCTTATCCCCTTCCCCTTCTATTTTCCTATAGGGCAGGATAGACTTCTGTACCCCATTTCCTGTATTTCTTATTTCCCAGTAGCATGTGAAAGCATTTTTTTTAAACATATGTTTTTAAAACTTTAGTTTTCAAATTTTCTCTCTTCCTCCCTCCCCACTCACCCTCATTGAAAAGGCAAGCAACTCAATATAGGTTGTACATGTGCAGTTATGCAAAACACTTCCATAGTAGGTAGACATGTTGTGAAAAACTAACTCTATTTCCCTTAATCCTATCCTGCCTTTCCATTTATTCTATTCTCTCTTTTGACCCTGTCCCTCCTCAGAAGTACTTACTTCTGATTACCCCCTTTCCCAATCTGTCCTCCTCTCTATCATCCCGCTGCTCTCTTGTCCCCTTCTGCCCCTGTTTTCCTGTAGGGTAAGAAAGATTTCCATACCCAATTGAATGTGTATGTTATTCCCTCCTTAAGCCAAATCCTATGAGAATAAGATTCACTCATTCCCTCTCACCTTCCCCCATTTCCCCTCCACTGTAAGAGACTTTTCTTTTCTGTTTTTTTTTGAGATAATTTACCCCATTCTACCTCTCCCTTTCTTCTTCTCTGAGTATAATCCTCTCTCATACCTTAATTTTATTCTCCAGATATGACCCCTTAATCTTCAACTCACCCTGTGCCTTCTATCTATCTATCTGTGTATACATACATATAATATTTTTCCTCCAACTACCTTAATACTGACAAAGGTCTCATGAGTTATAAATATCATCTTTCTATGCAGGAATGTAAACAGTTCAATCTTAATAAATCTCTTATGATTTCTCTTTCCTGTTTACCTCTTCATGTTCCACTGGAGTCCTGTATTTGAAAGTCAGATTTTCTATTCAGCTCTGTTCTTTTCATCAGGAATGCTTTGAAAGTCCTCTATTTCACTGAATGACCATTTTTTCCCCTGAAGGATTATACTCATTTTGCTGGGTAGATGATTCTTGGTTGTAATCCTATCTCCTTTGCTCTCTGGAATATTATATTCCATACCCTGCGGTCCTTTAATGTAGAAGCTGCTAAATCTTGTGTTATCCTGAGTGTGTTTCCACAGTACTTGAATTGTTTCCTTCTGGCAGCTTGTAATATTTTCTCCTTGACCTGGGAACTCTGGAATTTGGCTATAATATTCCTAGGAGTTTTCCTTTGGGGATCTCTTTCAGGAGGAGAACTGTAGATTCTTTCAAAAATTTGTTGTTTCTTAATGGGGTTTTAAAATGTAGCCTTTGTGTGTCTTGGTGTTTGCAGCATAGTTCCCCCCTCCCTAAAAGTGATTGGCAATTTGTTTACTTTTTTCAAGAGTTTTCTTGTATTATATCTTACATTCTGGTGTTTTGGTTTTTTGACTTGTGTTTTTCTGGGAGTCCTATAATACTTAAGATGTTTTTATGTATCCTACCTTTAAGATCAATATATTTGTCTTGTATGGAGATCATATTTTCTTTTAATGTTATTGCTTTTTTTTCCTTCTCTTCCAGATTTTCCTTCATTTCTGTGTATTTATATTCCCAATCAATTATCCTTTCTTTTATTTCTTTGGTGAGACATATCACTATGAATCCAAGTTTTTCTAATTAGCTATTTATTTCTGCTATGAAGGCCATACATTCTGTTTTCAAATTTCTTATTTCTCTTTTAAGCCATTCAGAATCATCCTACAATGGTTCTAGGCTCTCTTGGGAATCTACAAGGTCCTCTACATCAATAAATGTTGATACATTATTCTTTGTCTTGCAATATTTATTCATAAATGAATAAATTCTCCCAGACCTGGAGGCCATTTTCCCTTCTGTTATTAATTTCCTTCCCCTTAGTTTTTCAGCTTATGCTCAAGGTTTCTAATTGAGTTTTTTTCTTGAAATCCTCAGTAATTTTGGTCTGTTTTTCTTCATTTTCCACTATTGCACACTTTCTGACCACCCTTTCCTCTGATGGATATTTCTTTGGAGCTGGATCTCAAAGCTATTTCAATCTCCATCTACACTGAGCAACTCATAGTTCACCACCTATATTTCTTCCTCAAGTGATTTTGGGGGTGGTATACAGAATCAGCCCCAGCTTGATGCTGAGCTCTTTACCTTAGGGAAACTCACTTAGTGACACACTCACATGTGTTCTGCCTCAGTGTGAGATAATTTTCCCCTTCTTCCTCTCCCTCTCTCTCTCTCTCTCTCTCTCTCTCCTAGTGCTTTCTTTTTCTTACCTATCCATTTTTTACTCACTCCCATGACCTCTGTCTATGTAAACTCCTTCTAACTGACCTAATAGTGATGAAGTTCTTAGGAGTTACATATATTATCTTTCTATATAGGAATGTATACAGTTTAACTTTATTGAGACCTTTCAATTACTCCTTCACATTTACCTTTTTATAGTTCTCTTAAGCTTGTGTTTGAAGGTCAAATTTTCTATTTTGCTCTGGTCTTTTTATCAGGAATGCTTGAAAGTCCTCTATTTCCTCAAATATCTGTTCCACCTCCCCCCACCCCCCACCCCATCCCAGCGGATTATACTCAGTTTTGCTGAGTAGGTTATTTTTGATTGAAATCCTAGATCCTTTGCCTTCTAGAATATCATATTCCAAGCCTTCTGGTCTTTTAATGTAAAAGCTGCTAAATATTGTGTAATCGTGACTCAAGAATTCTCAACAGAGTATATGAGAGTTGTGCTTTGAGCTTGTCTTTCACCTTTTAGTGGTATGGAGGCGATATTTATCACAAAACTATTCATTTAGAGAACATGAATTGCTAAATACTGGGGATGGAGAGGAGGTCCTGATTACCTCTCCAGTCCTTTGAATAATTTTCATAAAGCTTTGATTCTATGACTGATTGCAAATTTCTTTAAAATAGCAGGGAGCAGTTTGACATTAGAACAAACGTCTCAGATTTTCTCAAAGGAATGGTGATTAGAAGGATTTTTAATTTGCTTTTATACTCAAGAGAATGACCAGTGGTGACCTCCTAGATAATAAGGAAAAAATAGTAAGGATATTTTAGTTGGATTGCTATTATTATCAATGATAATAATAATAATAATACTTCAAAGGATCTATATGTAGATATTCCCTCAGATGATGCAGATCACAGTTTTTCATCCTCTGTGACTCTTGGCCATGTCCTCCATTAAATCCCTTTCAGAAATTCCATTCAACATACTGGGATTGGTTTTTTTTTTCGCCTCTATGTCTCTTGATAGCATAAAGTCTCTTTATTGGCTATCCTTTGCTCTTGCTGTATGATTGGCTTATTTACTTTTCTGGACATACATCTTCCAAGGCTGTTGTGAAAATCAAATGATATAATATTTGTAAAGTGATTAGCCTGAGACATAGTAGGTGCTTAATAAATACCTGTTCCCTTCCCCACCCTCCCAGAATGGCTGTATCAATTCACAGTTCCATCAAAAGTATATTAAAGCCCTATTTTTTCCACAGCTCTTTCAGCATGTGTTGCTTTTTTTTTCTTTTTTGAGCAGTTTTGTCAATTTGATGCATATGAGCTTGAACCTTACAGCTATGTTCATTTGCGTTTCTCTAATGAGTTATTAGGGACATTTTTTTTTCATATAGCTATTGATAGCTTAGATTTCTTTATCTGAAAAATGACTGTCCATAACGTTTGACCACTTATCAACTACTAATGGCTCTTATTCTTATAAATTTGAATCCATTTTCTATATATCTTAGAAATTAGACCTTTATCAGAGAAATCTGCTGTAAAGATTTTTTGTCATTTACCTATTTGTCTTCTGATTGGTCCAACGAGTTATTGTGAATAAAGTCGTATTGCTCATCTAGAACCAGATTTTTATTATTATTATTTTTTACATGTATTTAATGCACTGGGGGTGAGCATAAGGGTGGAGAAGAATTCCTGATTATTCAACCTAGCCAACTTTAAATGCTATCATAGAGTTTGCCATCATGAAGTTTCTGGTCCCATTTCAATTCCAAGACATCATTTCTAAGAATGTTTATGAATCTTGTCAGATTCTCATTCAAGGTTATTGCATAGAACAGGAAGATCTCTTCCCACCCTTATGCCTACAACTTACTTTCTCTATATTTGACAGCCTCCCATCCTTGGTCAAAAACAAAACAAAACAAAACAAAAAGTTTCCTAGCCTACAGAGTTTTGCTTTTGTTTTTGTTTTTTTTTAAGAAGAACCTAAGTCAAGATCAACCATGGCCTTCTGGGACTGATTGTCAGAAAGTCAGTCTTACATGATCAAATCACTATCATATAAGTATAGGAGTTAGAGTAACAGTCTATTATGTATCTAAATGAGAACATAGGTATTTTGTTTAAAACTTCACATGATACTTTGCTGACTAGCATCCAAAAAGAAGAGCTGAAAAATTGCCATGGGGAAGTTACCAAAACAATTTTTTAGAGACTAAAATGATCTTGTTTCCTAAATGTTACTTGAATTGTGTGGTAGAAATACTTGGAAAACCTGCCTCACAGAAAATTAGTTTTATTACTGTTTTTTTTCTTAATTTATCAAAGAATAGGAATTAGACATGGCTCCTTCCTACTAAGCTTTTGGTTCCCTCAAATTGGGGAAAAAAAAGGAACACATTAAGGATTTCCTTAGGTGCACCATGCTCCAAGGGACTTAGTATTATGACATTTAATCATCACTTTTCACATTCCAAGTCCTTTATAAATATTCATTCCAATTCTTCATAGAGGGAGTGGGATGTCATGAAGTTACTCAAGATATCTTAATGTGATCTTTTCTAAAAAAAAATGATTATGAACTTAAAAGACCAAAAAAGTAACATTTCTATAAACACAGAACACCAAAAGAGGATCCACTGTGAAACTATAAATTCCATTTCATACCACTTGCTTTAAAATAAAATAATAAATGACACATGTTCCTTTTAAAACTTCTGCTTATCTGAGCTTCCTTATGAATTTCCTTTTATTCTTTGCATTTTCCTAAATATTTCAAAAGACCTCTTTTTTTAATATCACTGTTACTAACTCTCCTTTCAATACTCTCTCTCCTCAAATTAAAAAAAAAAACAAGAAGAAAAAATGAACTATATAACAAATAAGCACACTCAAGCAAAACAATCTATACAGTGGCCATTCACAAAAATGTATGAATCTTTCTATACCTTGAGTCTGTCTCCTCTCTATGGGAGATGGGTAACATGCTTCATCATAGGTATTCTGAAGACTTTCTTGGTCATATCATTGATTAGAGTTCTTAAATCTTTCTATTTAAAAAATAAATTTGTATTGATATCTTTTGTTTTTTACATGAACAAAATTCCTCCCAGAATCCATTTCTCTTTCCCCACTGACAGTCATCCCATATGACAAATATTACTTTTTAAAGAAGAGGTAAAAAAAAATAGCAAAACTGATCAATACATAAAAAAAGTCTGAAATGCAATATATTATGTCCATGGACCTTTCAACTCTGAAATGGAATTAGGAGGTACTTCTTTGGGTCCATGCATTTCTTTGTATAACATTCAGTTTTGGTTGTAATTATTTCCATTTACATTGTTACAGTCATCATGTGTCTGTGGGGGAGGGGGACTTTGCTTACTTCACTCTGCATCAGTTCATGTCTTTCCATTCTTTTCTGTATTCAATAGCACTATTTTTTTAAGCCACAGGAATATTCCATTAATTCATGTTTATTACAATATGGTTAAACATTCCCCAATTTATGAGCATCTACTTTGTTTCCTATTCTTCAGAAATACAAAAAACAGTACTATAAATACTTTTGATGTATTTCAGACTCTCTTCTTAACAATGACCTCCTTGGTTTATAAGCCTATTAGTGGAATCTTGGGTCAAAAAAATGGACCTTTTAGTCACTTTATTGGCATGATTCCAAATTGCTTTTCAAAAGTGTATGGATTCACAGTTTCACCAACTATCCACTAGTGTGCTTATCTTCCCCAAATGCCAACATCAATCATTCCCATTTTTTGTCTTCTTTGCCAATTTGCCAAATGTAAAATGAAATGTTAAGGTTGTTTTAATTTGCATTTCTTTTATTATTAGTGATTTGGAGCATTCTTTCATATGATTTTTTAAAGTTCTTCTGAGAACTATATGTTCATATCCTTTGATTACATATCTATTGAGAAACAGCTTTTAGGACTGTGTGTGTGTGAATGTGTGTATGTGTGTGTGTGTGTGTGTGTGTGTGTGTGTGTGCATGCATGCATTCACGCATGCATGTGTACATGACTGTGTGTTGTCTGTAAATCTTGGATACCAAACCCTGATCTCAGAAATTTGATACAAAAATTATTTTTCCGTTCAACCACTTCTCTTTATCCTAGATGTTTGTACAAAAGCTGTCCAATTTCATATAATCAAAATTACCTTTTTTATCTTTTGTTTGCATCTATCCTGTTTAGTTAAAACTATGTCTCTTACTTATACCTACAAAAGGTATATGATTTGATTTCCTTCTAATTATTTTGGGAGTATGATTTTTAGTATTAATTAAGGTCATCTATCCATTTTGAATGTAGTATGCAATATGGCATTTTGTTGTTTGTCCTTCATTCTCAAAGAGGGCTATGACATCTGGAAGGTGATGCCATGACTTGCAAGTGAATTGGATTTGAGTGAGGGAAGGCTGTGCAAAGTCACCAGCCTCGCTGTCTCTTCCAGAGCCATCTGGGTCCGGTGGCAAGATATAGATCAGGACTACTGGAAATAGTCTCAGATGCAGTGGCCTTTTAAAGTTAAGGTCTTTCCCAGGTCTCAGTTTGACTGAGGCAACACCCATTCATTGATTAAGGCTAGGTAAGAAATGAGGCAAAGAATGGCCTCTTTTACGTAGTCAAAAGAAAAATCAATTTGGGAGGGGAAGACCCTCAGGGTTTCTGGCCAAAACAGAAACAATGGCATAAAATGTTGATGAAAGCCTAATTTCTGTCAGACTGGTTTTTTTTTTGTTTTCATACAAGTTTTTCATCTAACAGAGAGTTTTTTCCATAATCAATTTCTATTTTGAGGTCTATTGAACAATATGTTATTCTGTTGCATTATTTCTTATTCTTTCTAATCTAGTCTATTCCATTGAATTGCTCTATATTTTATATCAAATGGTTTTGATGACTGCTGCTCTATAATATAGTTCAAGGTCTAGAAATACTATTTCTCCTTTGTTCATGTGGGGTTTTTTTTCCACTATTTCCTTTGGTATTCTAGCTCAGAGGTGTCCAATGTGACCTCTGTGGCCTCCAACAGTCTGACTGGAATTGGATTAAAATATAAGTGGAAAATATTTAACAAAATAAATAAAAATACAACAGTACACAGATAACATTAACAAATATTTTTTTTTCTAAACTAGTATGTCACCACAGGGATCCTTGTGTACAGCTTAGTGGTTCCTGTTTCTATTTGAGTTTGAAACCACTGTTGTAAATCTTTTGTTTCTCCACATAGATTTTATTTTATTGAAATCTGTAAACTATCACTTTGATAGTTTGATTGGTACAGAATTGAAACTGGAAATTAACTTTGGTATTATTGTCATTTTTATTATATTGGCCCAGCCTGACCATGAATACTGAATGTTTTTCTAGCTATTTAAAGTTGTTCTTTATTTCTTCAGGTAGATTTAAATATTCTTGTAGTCATTGTAGTCAAATTATTTTCCTCTCTAAAGCTCTGCTTATAGTTGTTGTAGAGTTATTGCTTTCTTTTGAGTTTTTCTCTTGGATGATTCTTGATCCACCACATTTCTTCATAATGTTCATTGTCTTCTGTTTAGTCATAGCTCTATGCCCAGATCTTGATTTTGGACTTAGCATCAAGCTATGCTTCCACCAACACTCTTGGATGGAGTTGTCAGTTCCTTTGGATCTGACCTTGTTTTCTTGGGTTCCTGCTTTTGGCTTCTTCTTCTCTTGCTGTGTCTGCCCCCAGAGCACAATCACACTTCAGTGTACCCAGTCTGAATTCTATATCTTGCTTTCCTTGAGCAGAGTGCTTGTTTTTCTTTTCTCCCTTCTGAGGCTTCCTTGTTCTGACTCTATCTCCCTTGAATATTCTTTGATCATTGTGCTAGGTAGTCTTTTGTACCACTGGGGCTTCCATAATCAGGGCAATGGGTAGTATTCTGACCTTCCTTTTGCTTCCCCAGTCAGAGTACTGGGTGATCTTTTGTCTACCTCGTGACATCCACAATCAAGGGGCTGTGTAGTCTTGCATTCCCCAGTGGAATTTCTCTGGTCATGACGCTGCTGTTTGTATTTTCTCCCCCCAAATCTCCATATCCCCTGAAGTTTCTTTGATCAGAGTAGCAGATGATTTCTGTGCTACCTGGATCTTCCTCAGTCACGGCACTGGTATGTGATCCGGTCTTTGGTTTGTAGTCTGTTTCCATATACTCTTTCAGTGTCCACAGTTTCTGGTTGTTGTGGGACATTGTTTTAAATTGTCGGGCTCCTGTGTAAACTACCACATAGGCATCTTAACCAGAAGTCTCTTTCACATTTGTAATCAAAGTACAGTACTAACAAATATTATTATTTATAATCTCACTATGGGAGTAGGATATTAATTAATTTGCTGATTTTCTTTATTATGGATACATTTGCTACTATTTCTCTTTGACCTAAAAGGACTGGCAATACAATAGTCTATGACACTTAGATCTTAAATGGCCCTTTTCCATCAAAGAGTGAATTATGTTCAATATGTTCCTCTTATAACAGGAATTTGAAATGATCCACTATATGGAGAGCCTTAACGATGACCAAATCAGACAAAAAAAGATCTGATAAAGTCTTGGTTAACTTGGCAATTAACCAAACAACTGAATTAGAAAACTTCCTTTCTCCAAGCATCCAATTAATATCAGTTAACAATTGTAAATACTAAAATCCATGCTATATATAATAAAAGTAACTCATTGCCTTCACTGTCTTTGTGGTGATTTTTAAAAATCTCTTTCATACATGCCCTTTGCCTCAAAGTTTTCATTCAGGTAGATGCTGAAACAGTTCTAATGACTGGTAGATCTAATGGTAGTGGCATGAAGTATAGGAATTGGTACCTTATCCTGCTTAAATGATGAACAGATGAACAGATGATGGAGGGGGTGGGAGTTGAGTTAGGTGTGATGGATTAAATATCAAAATTTAACAGGCTCTCCAGAAATAGAAATTTTATTCTACAGTTGATCAGGCCCTACCCTTTGACACAAAATTTTCATTGACCTGCAGAGTATGCCGTTTGAGTCATTCATAGAAATAATTAATTGGAGTGATGATAGCTGTCACGTTTCTCAATAATGTTCATTTTGGTAAGTACATCACAATAAAATGGAGTTTTCCACAAACTGCAACTTTTTAAAAATTAAACTGTCAGAAATAGTTATGATGATCATTTGTAATTTCAATCATTCAATTTAAATTTAATTGTCTATATTTTTTAACTTCTCTAATTTTAAGTGAAATAACAACAATGTATAAATACTTAGCTGAGTTGAACAGAAAACTCATTGGAACAGCTGAAATTAGCACAAGAATAGACAGTAGAGGCATTTTACATATATAAGACATAGAAAAGCAAAGTAAAAATTCCAAGTACAGAAACTATGATCCATTGTATTTACCAGACGGATTCTCCAGTACACATCAGTGATGAGAATGGAAGATTGTGTTTGTTCTGTATTAATGATTTAGCGTCAGAGAGCACAAAACTCAATAAATTGAAAATTCATGAAAGTATACATGAAGAATACTGGGTGTCCCAAAAATCTTAGTGTAGTTTTAAGTTGTTAAAGTTTAATAAAGTATTTAAGCTTAAAACTGTACTAAGATTTTTGCAATACATTGTATTGTTAAGATAAGACTTTTTTTTCAGAAAAAGATAATATTTTTAATAAAGAAAACAAAAGTTTGTTTTTCAAAAACCATGTATCTGACATCAAAGCAATAGCTTGCATCATGGAGGACTGTTTACATAATTATTAAGTTAAAAATTTTGATAGAAGAAACATTGGTGCTAAATGTATCTATTTATGTGGTTTAAATGATTTATGGGAAATCATAAGCAAAGCAGTTTCCAGAGGTTCTACTTGTAGATAATACAGTAGGACAGAGTATCATCCATAAATCTAAAGACCTTTGTTACTGATTGAGAAACTAAAAGATTCTATTTTGCATTGTAAGTGAATGAAGCAAAAGATATAAAGATCTTCATTTGATTACATTTGTATGACACTTTATTGAAACTGATATCAGGAAGCATTTTTTATCTTGCAAACACTGATAACAATGCCATACTGAGTCAATTTCAATATAATTAACAGATTTTTAAAAAAATGAAAATGATACAGTGTAGGAGAATTTTGATTTTGTATTAATGTAGATAAATGTTAGGGCATCTATAACCAGTAGTCAAAAATGTGGCTTTTCATGAAATTTTAATGTATTGCCCGCTTCATAGACAATCATTTACATAACAAAACAAGAGTAAAAACATACAGTTTTCAAGTTATTATAAGAACAATTAACTTTATTTAAAAAACAATTTGTTAAATGAATGTTTCTTTGAAAAGTTGTGTGACTATATGGGAGTGAAAGGCAGAACTACTTTGCCCTGTGGTTGTAAGATCTGGGAAGTTTTCTTGAAATATGATGTTTAGGCTCTTTTTTTGATCCGTATTCATGCAGTCCAGTGATTCTTTTCTCCCAAATCTATTTTCCAGATCAATTGGTTTTGCTATGAGATACTTTAAATTTTATTCTATTTTTTAGTCTCTTGACTTTGTTTAAATATTTCTTGTTGTTTTAACAAGTCAGTGGCTTCTATATCATCCATTCTAATTTTCAAAGAGTATGTTGGGTTGGGAAGGTTTTGTACCTCTTTTGCCAAGATGTTAATTCCCTTTTTTTCTACACAGATTTCATTTTTAAAAAAATTTTCCCTCTAATGCTTTCATTTCATTTATAAAAAACATTTTAACTTTTATTTAAAACTCCTGCTTCATCTGTTCCAGGAATTTAAGTTCAATTTGTGCCCAGGCTGTTTTTCTTGAAGGATTTCCTTGTAGATGTTCTGAAGTGCAGAATCAGCATAATAGCTCTATATTGTGGCATTTTTTGTTATTGTTGTTGTTTATTCATTATTCCAGTTTACTTCCTTACTCTAGCCTTGGTTTTCTTGGCCAGTATCTGTACATTACTGGAGAGAAGATTTAGGCTTGTTCCATTGCTCCTTTCTTCTGATATCAACTGTTTCGTTATTCCAGGATCTCAGGCATACTTCAGGCTGGAAGATCTGAATGCTCCCAAAGTGGTCTGATCCAGGGCAGAGTCTAATTGCTTCCTCTTATCTGAGCTCTGCAAGTTTCTGACCTGGGTTTAGATCTGAATAATAATAAAATGCTGTTGGAATTGAACTCAGGTCTTCCTGGCTTTAAGTCAAGAACCTGATTTTCTATTCTATACTGCCTTCTTCATTCCCACTGTCCTCTTCCCATCACGGTTATTTCCATCTCTATTTCTGTTTTCTTTTATGCTTTCACTAACCCTTGTCTCTCACTACACATTTCTACTATCCTAAGGAAGGGGTCAAAGGATGCTGAGTTTGAAAGAGTTTAGCCTACTTGGTGAGAAACTAAGGCTAGTAATAACTCAGACTGATCCCCATCTGCCACCAGTCTGTACTATGTAAAATAAATGAAACAATTTATATTCCCTTGACATTTTCTCTCAGAGCTATCAGGAGCTATCAGCAAGCCTAGGATTTGTACTCAAGGTGCACTTTAAAAAAAATTATACTATATAAGATCACTTATTCAGGCTTAACAAATGAGCATCACAAATATCTTTTATAAACAATTAAATAAAATAATCTATAATGTGTAATATTTTTGTAAAATTTTACTCTTAACTTATTCAACAAATATTTATTGAATACTATTTTAGATCCTATACAGAATACAAAAAAAGTATGTCATAGTACCAGCTCTGGATAAACTTACCTCCTAGTTGCTCTCCTCCCATCCCAAATAATTAACAATAAAAGATAGTGTTTCAGGTCTCATGGTTAACAAGATGGAAAACTAGACATTTTCTCTTATCCCCATGACGTCTTAAACCTCCCCAGAACACAAATTAAGGGCCCAAAAGAAAACAACTTCAGCTGTTTCCATGGTCTAGGATAGCAAAATAAGGTTAAAAATAAAATCAATAACAACAAACCCAAACCGAGGAACTCACTGACCCTAAGCTCACTCTTCCACCCCGCCTTCCACACTATCCAAAGGGAGGCCATACTAGCAGACCCAAGGACATGACATAGGCTTAAATCAAAACTCACCACATACCTGCCCCCTTCATCCTCTTTCCAGTGCTGTAGAGACATTGACTCCAGACTTTGGAAGTTTCCTCAGGCCTTGACAGCTAGCTTGGCCACAGCCCTATAAGAGCAAAAGCCTGTAGGAGGCTACAACCTGGAAGCCCCAATGCTGCAAAGTTCTGAATCGCCAGTAGCTCTAACTGCCAATGTTGGGCCAAAGAACTAAGGAACAGAGGGAGTAACACAAGTTACCATGACAGAACACTTTGTATGTGGAGAACTCTGGAGTGTTCCATCAAGCCTGAGGGAGAAAGCACTGCATCCAGCTAGGTCCAGTTCTGATCACCTAAAAGTCAGTTGGGGCAGAGACCTAAGGCTAATGATTTATGAACTGCCTAGCATAGGAAGAGGCTGAGGCACTTTGAGATTCAACCCCTAGGGCAACTACATCAGAGGAGAGAGAGTTAGAAGTAAGCAGTAAGGAAAATAAGGAGATGGAGAGTGATAGAGACTAAAAGCACAAAAGATTACAGGAAAAATAAATACTAAAAACCTTGACTGTATACATATAAATCAATAGGAAAAGCAGCAAAAACAGAAGGAGATGTGGCCTCTGGATCTAGTAAACCAACTCATGCATTTATTATTAAATACTGTAAAATGAAGGAAAATAATCTAACATTTGATGAGACAGAGAACCCTGTGGAAGTTGAGGAAAACATGTAACCACAACATGCTATTCCTGAGAGATTTAAAAGAGAAATAGTAATCATGAGAGCAATATTTATGTCCTGCACAGCAAAAAATAATGAGCAGGATAGAAAAACTTGAATCTGCAATGACAAGCCTCCCCAAAGAAACAAAAGAGAGAACAATAGATTGGGAGTACAAATACAAAAAAGCAAAAGACAATCTAGAAAAGAGAAGCAAAAAACAAGAACATTAAATGAAAATATGGTATCTTCTAAGTGGAACAGAATAAGAATATACATATTTCTCTGCACCACCTAGAAGTTTTATAACAATCAACCATGTCTAGGTCAAAGAGATGTTTCAAACAAATGTAAAAAGGCAGAAATAATATATCCATTATAGAGAATAACACAATGAGAATAGAAATTGGTTCAAGGACAAAAAAAAAAAGATACAGACCCAAAGAAGGCAGAACCAAGATGATGGAGCTCTCCCCAGTTTCCCTTGGAAACAATGTGAAATCAAGCCCCTAAACAGATTCTGGAGCAACAGAACCCACGAAAAGATAGAGTGAAACTATTCTCCAGCTTAAAATAACTTAAAAGGACTTCAAGAAAGATCTGTCTCACTTGGGTAAAAGGGGAATACAGCCCAGAACAATAGGGTAAAATAATCATTGAAAGAATCCACCAACCACCCCCTGAATGAGATCCCAAAATGAAAATTCCAAGGAATATTGTAGCAAAATTCCAGAATTATCAGGTCAAGGAGACAATATTACAAACAACCAGGAAAAAAAAAACAATTTAAATATTGTGGAGCCACAGTCAGGATTATATAGGACTTAGCAGCTTCTACATTAAAGAATGGGAGGACTTGGAATATGATATTGTGGAAGGCAAAGGAACTTGGATTAGAACCAAGAATCAACTACCTAGCAAAATTGAGCATAATCTTTCAGGGGAAAAAATGGACATTCAATGAAATAGGGGACTTTAAAACTTTCCTAATGAAAAGACCAGAGCTGAACAGAAAATCTGATGTTCAAATACAAGAGAAGCATAAAAAGGTAAAGAGGAAAGAAAACAACATGTTATTCAGTAAGGTTAAACAGTTTACATCCCTACACAGGAACATGTTACTTGTAACTCTTGAGAACTGTATGTGTATTAGGGCATGATGAAGCATGCTATCCATCTCCAGATAAAGAATTGATATTAACTGAATACAGTTAAAAGAATGCTATTTTTCACTTTCTTTCTTTCTTTCTTTCTTTCTTTCTTTCCTTTCTTTCTTTCTTTCTTTCTTTCTTTTCTTTCTTTCTTTCTTTCTTTCTTTCCTTTTTTCTTTTATTCAAGTCTTCATGTACAAAGTGATTAATATAGAAATGTTTTACATATTTGCACATGTATAACCTATATCTGATTGCTTATCATCTAAAGGAGGGGGGAGGGATAGGAGGGAAGGATAAAATTTGGAACTGAAAACTTTAAATAAAAATGTTTATAAAAAGTTTAAATATCATATATTAACAAAATAGAAAGAAAATTAATGAATTGAAAAGGCATTAAAAATTAGAGAATCAACAAAAAAAATAAGTACTAAAGAGATTATTAAAAATTAAAGGGGAAATGGATAGTTTTAGAAACAAAAACAATTATAGAAATGATAAGTATACCCAAAATCTGGTTATTTGAAAAGTCTAATAAAATTGATAAACCTTAGCTAATATGATATAAAAGAAGAGAGCAGAAAATCAAGGCAATAAAATAGCAAATGAGGAAGGTGAAATCACAGCAAAACCAGAAGAAATAAAAATAATGGTCACAATAAAAATATTGTGCACAGTTATATGTTAAGAAAACTGAGAACATAACAAAATGGAGGAATATCTTCAAAAAACACATAAAAATATCCAGAAAATCGTGAATAGATAGAGATCTTAAATAACAAACAATTCCAGAAAAGGAAAGAGATCTAGTTGTAAAGGAAGTACTGAATGGGGGGAGGGGGAGAGGAAGAGTGGGCAGCAGCAAAAAAAAAAAAGAACGAAAAACCTATCAAATTTTTGAAAGACAGTACCCATATTTTACAAATTATTGCCAAAAAATTGAGAAAGAAAGAACCCTAATAGAATCTTTTTATGCAACAAACATAATTCTAATACCTAAACCAGGGAAAGATAAAACAGGGGGAGGGAAGACCCAAAACTATTGGCCAATATCATTAATGAATATTTACTCAAAAATTTATATAAATCCTATGAAACAGATTATTGAAATATATCTAAGAAATCATTCAATCAAGTAGAAATTATACCAGGGATACACAGATGGTTCAACATTAGGAAAACAATCAATATAATTAATCATATTATACATGAAAACATCCAAAACCACATGATCATGTTAATAGATGTAGAAAAAACCGTTGGCACAATACAAACATTTTTTTTATGCTAAAATTCCTCCAAAGTACAGCTGTGCAGGAGACTTTTGTTTTGTTTTGGTTTTTGTTTTTAGGCAGTTGGGGTTAAGTGACATGCCCAGGGTCACACAGCTAGTAAGTGTCAATGTTTGGTCTGAGGCCGGATTTGAACTCAGGTCCTCCTGACTTCAGTGCCAGTGCTCTATCCACTGTGCCACCTAGCTGCCTCTGAGACTTTTTTTTAATGACATAAAAATTATGTCTCCAAAACTAAAATCAAGCATCATACGCAATAGGGTTATACTATAAGCTTTTTCCAAAAAATATGAGAATGAAGTAAGGATGCCCGTTCTCCCCATTATTATTTGATATAGTTCTGGAAATACTGGCAATAAGACAAGAGAAAGCAATTATGGGAATAGATAAAGGGGAGATAAAACTGTCCCTATTTGTTGAGGATACGATGTTGTTCTTGGGAAACTCCAGGGAATCAGCAAATATACTAATTGAGACAATTAATAGCTTTGGCAAAGTTGCAGGTCACAAAATAAATCCTCAAAATTAGGGGCAGCTGGTGGAGCAGAGGATAGAGCACTGGCCCTGAAGTCAGGAGGACCTGAGTTCAAATGTGGCCTAAGACCAAACACTTGATACTTACTAGCTATGTGACCCTAGGCAAGTCGCTTAACCCCAAATACCTAAAAAAAAACCCCTGAAACTCAAAAATCAATAGCATTTCTATATAATAATAACAAAACACTAGAATCAAAGATAGAAAGGGAAATCCTATTCCAAATAACTACAAAATATATATCTATAGGTCAATCTCTCAATGCACACAAAACACTTGTATAGATTCTATTAGCACTCCTTAAAGTAATGTAATATACATATTATGTATGTTATCTATGATATATTGATATAATATATTATAATGTAATATAAAGCAGTCTTTAAAAAAATAAAGAACAACCTAAAAGCTATAGGAATATTCAGTATCCATGGTTAGTTCATGTCAATATGATAGAAATGATAATACTACCAAAATTAATTTATAGTTTCCATATTATAATAATTAAATCACCAAGATGATACTTTATAGAGCTTGATAAAATAATAACAAAATTCATTTGAATAAACAAAACATCTAGAATATCAAGAAGAATAATGAAAAGAAGTAGGATAAAAGGGGAACAGCATTTCCAGACCTCTGACTATATTATAAAATAGCAGTCATCAAAACCATCTGGCATTGGTTAAAAAATAGAAAGACAGATCAATGAAACAGACTAGACAAAGGAGATCTATAAACCACAGAAGTCAATAACTCAGGGTTTGATAAAGTATAAAACATAAAGTAACCAGGGGAAAACTCCCTCATTTGATTAAAAACACATCTTTTGGGAACACCGGAAAGCAATCTGACAGAAATTAGACTTAGACCAATACCTTGTACCACACTCCACAATACATTCTAAATGGATATATGACTCTAATATTAAAAATCATACTATAAAATATAAAACAGTTCATGTACCTCTCATAGCTATGGGTAAGACATGTATTCTTAACCAAACAAGTGCTTGAGGGAACTACAAATGATTAAATAGATAATACCGATTACTTGAAACTGAAAAGCTTCCACACAGATGACATTAATGAATCTAAAATAAGAAGGGAGGTGGTTGAATGGGGAAATAAATCTTCATATCAGATTTCTCTGATAAGGGTTTCGAATCCAAGATTTATTGGTTGTTGTTCAGTCATTTCAGTCATGACTGACTCTTCATGACCCCATTTGGGGTTTTCTTAGGAAAAATACTGGAGTGGTTTACCATTTCCTTATCCAACTTATCTTACAGATGAGTAAATTCAGGCAAACAGAGTTAAGTGACTTGCCCGGGGTCACACAGCTAGTTTCTGAGGTCAAATTTGAACTCAGGTCTTCCTGACTCCAGGCCTGGCACTCTATTCACTGCACCACCTAGCTGCCCAGTATATATATATATATATATATATATATATATATATATATGTACTAATTAATATACATCTATGCATATAATATATATATAACATGTATATACATAAATTATTATACA